GACTTTTATATTACCCCAGGAAGTGATCAAATACGTGCGACAATGGAAAGAGATGGGCAAACTGAAATATTACAAAAAGTTAATCATATTTAAAATTGTATTTAAAACTATATTTATAATAGACATTTCATGGGCTGTTATGAATATCATGGATTAACACGCACATGAAATATCTGATATATTTCACGATTCCTATGCCCCGTAACACTTCGATAAAATTTTTACTGATGATGTCATACCGTGGAATATTTTTTGATATTTTCACGGTATTACATCATCATAAAAATATCATCAGAAATGTTCACGGGCGGGCGAACATTAAGGGCCGTGGAATATAGTATGTATTTAGTAATGTAGCATAGACTAACACGAAACATTCAATAGACACGACAGGTACCTCAGCACCCATATTACATATTGTGGCCATCCCTGTACAAGAAAGAGTTTCAATTCCTGTACCAAAATATTCAATTATATGACCAGTTCCACCCTGTAAATATTTTAACCCGATTATGTTACTACTAAGTATTTATAAAACATGAGAAATAAAGAAAAATACATAATAAATGATATGTACCTGAACAGTTAATTTTCCAGCCAAATGTAATATTACATCTTTAGGGCTTGTCCATTCATTCAATTTACCAATTAATTTTACACCAATTATTTTTGGAGCTTTAAGTTCCCATGGAACATTAGCCATGGCATCAACAGCATCAGCACCACCAACACCTATAGCTATTGTGCCAAGACCACCGGCATTTGGTGTATGACTATCTAATTATATTAAATATAATTCATGAGAGATTCATGAGGGAATTGATTATAATCACGTAAGAAATTTTGAATGATAAATATATTAAATATATTGGATATATTAAATAGATCAATTACCAGTCCCAATCATAAGAGCACCAGGAGCGGCATAATTTTCCAAAACTATTTGATGAATAATTCCACTTCCTGGTTTCCAAAATTCTATTCCATATTTTTCAGATGCACTTTTTAAAAAATCAAATATTTCTTTACTTGTTATTTCGGCAGCCTTTAATGAGCGAAAATAAAATAAGATTATTGTTCGGGTTGTAAAAAAAAAAAATGACTGAACAAGTGCAAAGACAATAGCGATGAGTAAGTATGAACTTGATTATATTGTCGACGATATTTTTTCAGTCATTTAACAATACGTTCAAGGGACATTCTTACTGATTAGATATGAACAAACCTTCAGGTCTTTGTCACTACCTTCATGTGCCTCAATCAAATGATCACAATGTATGGACGTTGGAATAGCCGTTGATGGCATTCCAGCAAGCATAAATTGAAGAATGGCAGTTTGAGATGACGCATCTTGCATCGCAACTCTATCTATTCACATAATGCAATCAAATTTGTATTATACAAGATTATACTTTCGAATCAAGATTTTCAAATCAAGACTTTCGAATCAAGACTTTTGAAAAAAAGAAAAAAAAGTCAAGCCAAAAACATACCAGGTTTTAATTTCAAGTAAGTTTCACCTTTGACAATACTATCAATTTCTTTTGGATCCCATATATGAGCGTACAATATTTTTTCAGCTAAAGTCAAAGGTTGATCACCAAAAATTTTTTTGCGAACAATTGACAAATTTTCAATCAACTTTGCATAGTTTGGTGTTATTTGAGAACAATCTTTCGGCTCAGGTATCGAATGTTTAGATTGATTTTGATTAGTAATAGTAGCAAATGATCGCCGAAAATTTGGATGGATTGAACGAGTTGGATTGGCTGATTGTGCTAACTTTGATATAAAAAAAAAAAAAGAAATTAAAAATCAATATATATTTTAGAAGTATATCTTTCGAAATATATCTTTCAAACCTGATAGTATCTTCGTCCAAAAAATAAACATTTTGAATTCATTTTCGCGGAAAATATTGATAAAGTGGAGACTTGATAATTTATCCATTTCAGAATTTCATTTATATATATCGATATACAGTATTATCTAATCTACAGGTCGTTTGCGAAACATACAATAGTGATACATAAACCTGATGCACGAAAGATAAATCAGGTTTGTTATTTACACACCCAAGAACGGTGAATGTGTACAAAGTTAGAAATTGATACAAAAATGTTCGAATAATAATTTTGGTAAAAACATAATTGTAAATTATTCGACAATTATTTTATTAAAGACTTTGGTTACTGTAACTTCAAATGATCGAAACATGATGCTCCAGATGCAAAATTAGATCCTTCCTGCACCTTTTTTATTATCTTTGTGTGAAAAAGACGTATAAACTTTGTTCAATCTGTGAATATGTCTATTGAAGTTACGAAAAATTTTCCTTAAAGAATAATAAACAGTAATATTAATTGGATGCTCTGAAATAAAATGAATTAAAATGAATTAAACTATGATCATTTATTGTATTATCGATATAGAATTCTAAGAACTATTAAAAAATAGAAGACAATTGAATAAAGCACGTATGTACGTCATTACAATATCAATCCACGTTAGAGGTTGGAATCGGTTTTATTTTCTTGTATTAAACCCGGTTTTGTTTTAATCGGTTTTGCCACAAGAAAAATAAACCGGTTCCAAACTCTAGTCCAAATATTCTATCTCGCGTACGTACAGTACGTATACTTCTGCTACGAAAGGCAGTTGATCTTCAAGTTACAAACACGGATATGAAAGTCGTAAAAGTCTAAACGCAGTTGATGTTCTTTTCACAACATATAAATCATCATCCCTGCAGAAAAACATTCTTGTGTCCGGATTACAGTATACGTTATTCCGAACTCTGCAACTACGACTACAACCTGTCTTATTATCGCAACCACCAAAACAGGTAAGAATGTTTATTCTTTTTATGTTTTCGGTTATTTGTTTGAGTCTCTTTGTTCACGTAATAATATTGAGCTATTATTTGGTTATACATTACTGTTAAATTTAATAATGTTCTCATGTGAAGCCAAAAAGTTTTGTACGAATAACACGCTTAATTTAGCATTAGAATAGGACAGCGGGAATGACTAATTTTGAAAGTTTATTTACACTATATATATACTTAAGTAATATCGATATACCAATGTCATTATATTTGCCAAAAATTCGCATGACCGGATATTTAATAACAACATATAAGCGCCAAAACCTAATCAAAAGCAGAAAAAAGTAGAAAGAAAAGACTAACGTATAGTAACATATAGCAATTCAAAAAGAAAAAAACAAAACAAAAATTCTTTTTACAAAAATCTCGAAAAAAAGCTGATAGGTACAAGCTATAAATGTTGTGTACCAAAAAAAGAATAATTTCAATCCCTCACAACAAACAACAATTTGTTTTCCATAACTTACATTAGTAATCCAATGGATATATGCATTTCATTCGTTTGCTACTATCATCATCCATACGTTGATTGACCTCTTTCATAATCTCAATACCTCGAATTTTCATTCTTTGACACCAATCTTTACGTTCTTTCGCGGGTACCTTTTTATATTCTTTGTGAGCATCTTTAACTTGTTTCACCGAATAAATTCTTACTATGAATGATCCTCTTCGTTTAGCCCATTTTTGCTGTTGGACATACGGAAGACCGAGTAAAACACAGGATGGGATACCCATTTCGCTTTCAATTCGATAATCGCTAACGAATAGTTAATAATAAATCGTTATTCAAGTTTATATATAAATTGTGTAATTTATAATTAAAATGGATTTACCTAATAGTCATCTTTTCCAAACAAGTGGTACAACACCTAAGGTATAACGATTAGCTTTAGAACCAAATGATAATAGTGATAATAATAAATATTAATTTAATTATTAATTTATGATAAGCAATTTTTACCTTACTTTAAAAGCCCAATAAACTTTTCTAATTCTAGGTGCACCACAAACCATACAACCACGTCCAACTGACAATTTGCAATAATCTTTTTCGGTCATACCTTCAGGTGGCTCCAATTTCAAATTATTTAAAAATCCTTTTCTTGAATCTCTCCAAATTTTAGTAGTGATTGAAGAATCAGATGGATTCAAATACATTGCAAATTGTCTACAAACTTTTGAAAGAGAAAGTAAAGTTTGCGGATCGCAGAAATAAAGGATATTAATAAATAACTCTGGAGGAAATGAAACAATCGGATGTTGTTTAGAAGATCTCCATTTTTTTGATTCTTGGTTTTCTTGGAGTTAATTTTTTAGG